TGATCTGAGCCACCTCTCCCCAGAACAGCAACAGAAAGTACGACAGATGCTAAGGGAGGAGAGTCAAGTATTCGCTAAAAATGACTGGGACATGGGATGTATTAAAGGACTAGAAATGGACATTCATTTGAAAGATAATATCCCGGTGCAAAGGACATATAATTCCATTCCACGTCACCTCTATCAGGAAGTAAAGGCTCACATCCAAGATCTGCTGAGCAGGGGGTGGATCCAAAAATCATGTTCACACTATTCCTCACCTATTGTTTGTGTCCGGAAGAAAGATGGGAGCCTTCGTCTTTGTGTAGATTACAGGTTGTTGAACCAAAAGACTCTGCCTGATCGCCATCCAATCCCCCGGATTCAAGAGATTTTGGAGAATCTCGGGGGCAACTCGTGGTTCACGGTCCTGGATCAAGGGAAGGCGTACCATCAAGGCTTTGTGAGTGAGAAGAGCCGCCCATCTACAGCCTTTATTACACCATGGGGACTTTATGAATGGGTACGGATTCCCTTTGGACTCACAAATGCCCCAGCCACCTTTCAGCGCTACATGGAAAGCTGTCTGGGGGATCTGAGGGATGAGGTATGTGTCCCTTACCTCGATGATGTTCTGGTCTTCAGCAATACTTTTGACCAACATGTAGAAAATGTGAGACAAGTGCTGCATAGACAAAAACAAGCCGGCATTAAACTGAGACCAACAAAGTGTGAGTTTTTCAAGCATGAGGTGTGTTATGTGGGACGCATCATCTCAGCTGAAGGCTACAGAATGAATCCCAAAGAAATAGAGGTGGTCCAAGCTCTCCAAAACGAAACGCCATCTACTGTCAGAGAAGTGAGGAAATTGATGGGATTCCTCAGCTATTACAGGTCGTATATTCAAGACTTCTCAAGAACAGCCAAACCCCTCTATGACCTACTTTCCAAACCCAAGTCTGCTGGAAAAGGTCTCCAGTGGAAGGGCTCAAGTCGCCAGTCAGCTCAGCTTCCTCCATCACATCCAGTGCAGTGGACTGCTATTCATGAAGAAGCATTGCAAAAGCTGGTGAAGCAACTGATTAATCCACCAGTGATGGCTTATCCCGATCTGGAGAAACCCTTCGTTCTGCATGTGGATGCTTCAGAGGAAGGACTGGGTGCTGTACTCTATCAGAGACAAGAGGGAGTCCTTAGAGTTATCGGATATGGCTCCAGAACATTGTCTGTGACAGAGAAGAACTATAAACTTCACTCTGGAAAATTGGAGTTTCTGGCTCTGAAATGGTCTATTACGGAGCGCTTTCGGGACTATCTCTTTCATGCACCTCATTTTACAGTGTACAGCGACAACAACCCCCTCACGTATGTCACTAAATCTGCCAAGCTTAATGCGACAGGGCATCGGTGGGTTGCGGAGTTGGCTGACTACCAGTTCACAATTAAATACCGGCCTGGGACAGCAAATCGCGATGCGGACTTTCTGTCAAGACACAAACCTACTCATACAATCATGAAAGAGTGCACTGAAGAGTACCATCAAGAGGACATTGAGGGCATTGAAATGGGCATACAAGGAGAGAGCAGGGGGGAAGTTAATTGAATTTCATCTGTCACCTGCAATATTGATACTCTGCCAGCAGAGGTCAGCATTGTCCCACCTGTTCAGCCCTTGGAAGCTGAAGATATCAGAGCTGCGCAACGGTCTGATCCAGTTATTGCCAGAGTGCTCACCCTGAAAAAGAATCATACTCACCTGAAGCACAAAGACAAAATGGCAGAGGGTGCACCAGTTCGACATCTGCTCAGAGAGTGGTCCCGCTTGCATGTAGATGAAGATGGAGTCCTCTGGAGGGAGACAGCCTGCAGAACACAGTTGGTTGTCCCAGAGACCATGAAGGCGCTCATCTACAAGCACCTGCATGAAGATATGGGACATTTGGGAGCAGACAGAGTCATAGCCCTGGCACGTGAGCGCTTTTTCTGGCCCAAGATGAGGCAGGACATTGAACATCATGTGACCAGTGTCTGTTGCTGCCTGAAGAGAAAGAAGCCGAACAGAGTCACCCGAACACCAATTCAAAGTATTGAAACATCAGCCCCATTCGAGATGGTCTCTATTGACTTCCTGCACTTGGAGAAAAGCAGTGGAGGAGAAGAGTATATTCTTGTGCTGGTGGATCATTTCTCCAAGTATGCACAGGCCTATGCCACAAAAGATAAGTCGGGGAAGACGGTGGCCAAGAAACTCTTTGATGATTTCATTCTACGCTTTGGCTTCCCTTCAAGAATCCACCATGACCAGGGAAGGGAGTTTGAAAATCAGCTCTTTCGCAAGCTTGAGAGTTACTCTGGTGTACGACATTCCCGCACGTCTCCCTACCATCCGCAGTCAAACCCGGCAGAACGTTTCAACCGGACGCTGCTTGGCATGCTGAGGACACTGGCGGAGACCGAAAAGACACACTGGAAAGAACATCTGAGTAAAGTGGTCCACGCCTATAACTCAACTGTTCATGAAGCTACTGGGTTTTCTCCATTTTTCCTCCTCTTTGGCCGTGAACCAATTCTGCCCATTGATCTGCTCATCCCTCGTAAGAGGAAGGGGGAGAAGGAACACCAGTCTCCCATTGCATATGCAGAGAAGTGGAGAGAAGCTATGCAACAGGCTTATGCCATAGCCATGGAGAACATGTGGAAGTCAACCCGAAGAGGGCAGCGGTGTTACAACCAACGCACATGGAGTTCTACTCTACAGCCTGGCGATCATGTGCTGGTTCGAAATCTGGCTCCCAGAGGTGGTCCTGGAAAGCTGCGGAGTTATTGGGAGGAGGACATCTATGTGGTCAGAGAAAGGAGGGGTCCCGACAGCCCTGTTTATGCTGTTGAGCCTCTGCAAGGTGTTGGGAGAAGACGTGTGTTACACCGCAACTTGTTGTTGCCTTGCCCTTACCTGGTGAATGAGCCACCAGGAGATGTTCCACAGCCTGCCACACACCGAGCTCGGACAAGGAGAAACCAGACACTCGAACCAGAGCTACAGCAAATTGACACTGAAAACTCAAGTGAGGAGGACTTTGAATTTTGGATGGCTCACCAACCAGTCCCACCACTCGACAGAGCAGCTGCAGGAGAGCCCATGCTAAGAGAGTCACAAAATGACAGAACTATGCCTGCACTTCAGCCAGAATCGATTGGTCCTGACAGTCCTGGAGGTGTGCCTGGGCCCCAGGACGATCCCCAAACTTCTGCCACTGAGTCGAAAGAAGAGCAGAGAGAACTCACTGCCGCACCACAAAGACCTGTGAGAGCAAGACAGCCGAGGCGTCTGTACACCTACGAGCAGTTAGGCAAGCCATCTGTTCGAGAGCTGCACAGCTGTCCCATTGGTGTGAGAGGAGCTGAAGGGGTCCCAGACAACTACAGGAGACCCTACATGTATCCTTTTTCACGTTATTGATATGGGAAGGGTTATTTGTAAATAGTGGTTTAGTGATTGTGGTTTAACAGTGGGTAAAGCACATGTTAACAGTAGTACAGTGGTATGGGTACAAAGTTTAAATATCCTAATGGGAAAGTACCTAGTAAACTGATGGGGTATGGTATGATCATGTAATTACATGTTTTCGGGTGAAAAGAGTATTTTCCTTGTCCCATTGTGTGAAGATTGGGGGGCCCACTGATTCTTTACTGGACTGTACACCCTTGATGCAAATGGACTAAACGCAGAGTCATGTATCATTGCCATAATATAAGGAGTAAAATCTTAACGAGAGACATTTTAAATTAATTATGAAATGTGCAATAGTGTGTAATACTTACCACGGTTCTTACTAGTTGACGCAGTCTTTTATTATTGTATTTTGTTTCACTTTGGTAAAATGTAAAAAAATGGAACTAAAAAAAATATGGGGAGCACTTCTCTTTTCAGTGGGGGAGGGTGTAGCCCATCTATATAATATACTTTGATGAAATGTTATGTAGTATTTATCAATTACAGTATATGCACTGTTAATTTATTAAATTTGAATGTAATTAATACACTGTAGCATCGAGAGCAGCCAGGAAATGGGTGGTGCCAATAGTTGGGGGGTCCAGCTATAAAAGTAGGTCAGACACGCCCATCCAGGTGTTGTGAGTGTGGCCTGCGCTCAGGTGTTGTAGCCCTGCGTGCCTCGCATGTAATGAACCGCTTTGATAAAATAAACGTTGCAAAACGGAACTATTCGCCTGGATTATTTAAGAGTGCAACATTATATATATATATATATATATATATATATATGGGAGTGGGAAGAAGAAATGATTTAAACCCACCCCCCTCTTCTAATTTTTACATTACATTACATTTACATTAGGCCATATGAACTATTTACAAGTGTGAACAAAGTCACTGAGTAACAGAACTGTCATCAAAGTGCAATAATACAAACGGATGCCAACGATGGAGACACATACAAGTAAAGATAATGACTCAACAACAACAGAACACCAGCACTACACAAGACACACAGACACACACACACAGACACACACACAGACACACACACACTGACACACACACACACACACACACACACACACAGACACACACACACACACAGACACACACACAGACACACACACACACACACAGACACACACAGACAGACTTTATTTTAAACAAATTAAAATATATGTCTCTCTTTACTGTTGGCGGGGATCAGATTGGTCAAAAATAGGGACATCTGGGACATTTCTTGTTGGTTTTTGTATAAATGTTCTGGTACACAGGCTCAAAACTGGGACTGTCCCGGGTAAACAGGTAAAAGTAGAAAGAGATATACAGTGTAATGCCATTCTGTGGTACGTTTTAGGCAAAGCAGGTGACAGGGGGCCTTAAGTCTTCTGTTGAAAAGTTTCGTTTCAAGGCTACTGAAAAACCAAATCATTTTGCCCACCCATCTGAACTTTACGGACAATAGATTTTGTTTGCACACAGGTCAGTCAGAGTCCGTCACCAGTCCGGCGTCACCTCTCCAAGCCTCTCCCCAAAAAAACTACACTCCTGTGACGTCACGCCCGTGGCCCTCCTTATCTGTCACGCACGCGCTCCTGGACTTTTACCCTTTTACTCCGGGCCATCTGATAACCGCAGCACACACCGACACCGTGCACCGGACTGCAAAACATGTTCACCCCGAAGTCACCCCGCGGCCTCTCCAGGAGTCCCCGGGCGCCCCAGCCCCCTGCCGCCGCCGCCGCCGCGGAGGAGATCCGCATGGTGGACTGTGGATGTGAGCCCGACCGCACCTGCAGCCTCCACGCCGGCTGTCCGACAGCGGCTGAGGACAAGGTAAAGCCCGCGGTCCGCTGCGTGTCTCCGGGGAATGCTCCGGGGGTCACCGCCGAGGTGACCACTGTTTTCTGATCTGTGCCATTATGTTGTATCACCATCAAAAATAGGCTGCATGTTGTGTTTTGTTTCATTCACACATGTTTAACACACATATCCTGAAATCACTCTGTTCCACCTTGTGATGTCATGTGCTCCATTGTGTTTTTACACTTCATACACCTTCACCAGAATCATTTGGATAAATTCAGCCCTGGAATTGCCGATCTCTCCTGAACAAGGATAAAGGTAAAAGGAGCTGTGAACTTGAAAGTTATACTTGACATCAGAAAGACAAAATTATAAAGAGAATCAAACTCAAATGTGTGAATGAAACAGAACACAACTCTGTGTTTCTTGTTTCAAGCTTTATACTTGAATTTAAACTGTAGGGTATTTTTTTCAAGCTACTGGAGGTTATTAATGAAAGAAAGTAAACCATACGTGAATTTTGAATCTGAACCAGGAATGGCTTTTATTAAGTGTATACTACACATTCAACAGCCTTCAGACACTTGACTTGAGACTGTCTATTAACAATCCAACTTCCCCAAGCAAATGAAAACTTAACCAGGAAAGTCTCATAAAAATGAATCCTTGGAAGGATTTCAGAACTAGTATAAGATTAAGAAGCCTACTACACTTAAAAAGAATTGACTATCCTCTATTTGTGTCTCACCACTTTCAACAAGGTGTCACACACACACACACACACATACACACAAATACTACGCAAACTTAATTAGTTATAATCTACCATCATAATTATATAATTATATCATATCATAATTATAATTGCTTCACCTTCCCAACAAGTAGGTTTCGACTCCCGGGCAGTGTGGAACCTTTCTGTTTGGGGTTTGCATGTTCTCCGTGTGTTTGTGTAGGTTTTATTCTGGTTCTGGATGCTCTGGTTTCCTCTGCCATTAAAAACATTAAACATTAACATTAAAAACACACTCCTAATCTCAGTGGGATTTTCCTGGTTAAAAAAATGTAACTATAATAAATCATTAATAGGGTTGTGTAATTTGGGGAATTTTCAAAGTTGGAAAATGTTCATGGGAATGAACAGAACTATATGAGAGTTAAACCCGCTGAAGGTTGTTTCTGTAGTAGGACTGATGTAGCCTGCACTATACAAACCTTAAATATCTGTTCACCCTAAAAAAAAAGTTTGATGAGGGAGACTTGTGTTGAGCGTTCAGGTCAACACGTGTGTCATTTAAGGGAATTGAGTGTTTATTATGTCACACAGTGTGACAGTCATGTCTTATCTGAGCACGCAGGATCTTGTCTGTGGGATTACACTCAAAACAAACACACAGTTTGGTGACTTGTCAAACACACCATGAGGCACTATAGAATTAACCTGACAAGGTTCAGACACACTGCTCCAACGCACTTCAGGAATAATGTTGTGTGTAAGGTCCTCATTGGTGTTTCATAATTGGATTATATTCTATAAAAATATGTTTCATGATAAAATCAGTAAGAGACAGTTCTAAGGTCAATGACATTGTGCAAAAAGTCAGCAAAAATATTGTTTTATAACCCAACATTTCCACTAACACTAATATGATTAAAAAAGACAATATAAAAACATGAAACAAAAATGTAACACTTACATTAGACAGGTCCACTTTTCAATAACTAATCTAATGATCTTATTATAACTTTCTGCACAATATAGATAATATAATAATAATATATAGATATAATATAAATTTCATTAAAAAATTTAAATTTTTCATTTCATTTATAAAATGAAAATGCAAATAAGATGCAGGCATGATTCTGTCTCACATTGACACCACCAACACCACCTTGTTTCACTTCCCAAAACATCAATTATAATTCCCTGTTTGGTCCAGTTAAACATTTCATTCCTGAGACTGAAGCCGTGAACTCATCACAGAGCGACAATGCAGGTACAATAATCCAGAACCTGTTTTCATTACAAAATGACAATTGGAGTAATACATTTTGGGGGTCAGTATTTCGTGGGAGCTATTTCTTTACTGGAAAACAAATCCTGCTTTAGAGTTATCTGTGTCAGTGGGATGTTTTTGTTTTTTTTTCAGTATAACTTATTGTCTCTTCTTTGGTTAGTACAGAATTTCTGATCATAACTAAACATGATCAGTTTTATTTTGTTACTAATTTCCCACATAGATTTGAGTTTGTATATTTACTTGGCATGTCTGCTCTGTCTACTGTATCTGTCTTCTCTCCGTGGACCACAGCAGACAGGGACTGCTCTGGTTAGGGGCACTGACTTTAAGCAGAGTCATGCTGAAATTCCTTTGTGAAGGTCTGGTCATGTGATTCTATCCAAAATGCCACAGGGGCTGCCTGCTCTACTGTTCCACTGTGGCCAACCCAGGAACAAGGAACCAGCCATGTCTGTGGGCTACACAATTAAGACTTGACCAGAAGTGAAAACATTATTAGGCTGGAGGTTAGGGTCACACCACAGCTAAACTGAGGCCAGGAGCACTTTCTAAATCTGATAGAACAAGAAATGAAATTCAAACCTACGACTTAACCTATAACCAAAGGAGAACCAAAACAACATTCAAACAGCCTGACAATGCTGCTCTAAATTGAAGACTCCTCTTGTACCTAGAGTTTAGTTATTTTCAAATAATTTTCTTTTAGGTTCTGTTAAGTTAACAGTGTAGTTTTCTAACAGAGAATGAGCCACCTGCCTGTCTCCAGGGAGATGTTATTGCTTTACCTGAATGCTCCACAGTATGGCATTACATCTATCTCCATAGAAACATACATGATGGCGGCAGGTTGAGAGGCAAAGTCTGCAGTCTCTGGTGGTCAAACAAAAACCTGAGATCTACACCACCACTGATGGCAGCATCATTATGGAGGATGAGTTTCAAAAGCTGCCATGCATTACTAAATGAAGCTTTGCCATACTGTGATGGAAATTTATATTGTGGAAAGATTTCTCTCAATCTGTCTTTGTGTAAATAAATGTGATTTCTAGCTGAGACCAGATGAGTCCTTAACATGTGTAAAGCTCAGCACACACAACTGTCCCCACACTCCACAGGAGACGCTGTCTTGTCTTAGCTGTCCTCAAGTAGTTAAGTTGATTAGCACAAGTCTGTGAAAGTCTCTCTGCTTTGATATGTATGTAACTTTATTTCAGTAGAAATATTGAGAGCTCAGATGCTCTAGAGGAGATGCTGAGAAGGAGTGACTGGAGAGAGGAGATTCAGGAGAGGCTGTGGGTCTTTGACCAGGCCAGGCTTAGGCCCTATCCATATCTGCCCTAACAAAAAGAATAAATCTTTGTCTGTATTACAAAAACTCATTGGGCTTCGGAATAATTATTTATCATCAAGAGACACATAATTTTTTTTCCACAACTCATACTGTGGAAAATTCTTGTTAAAGCACCACCAAAAAACCACCAGAAAAGTCAAGAAATAGTGCATCTTTAAGCTTATCTGCAGTTGCCAAGAAATCATAACTTCACACAGGATGTGGTTTTATTTTGGCTGGCTCGGCTCTGGGTATAGAACCTTAGCAGACAGGAAGCAGAGTGTGGGAAGATACCTACTGTCATATCAGCTGATGCACACTGTCATTTGTATTACTCCATCGTAACATTACAGTTATACATAATGACTCAGTCTTACATTTCTTTCCAGGGGCCCATTTCGGACTCGGGCCAGTACGGCTTCGATAACTTGGCCTACGACTACAGCAGTGAAACCCATCTGTGTTCTCCCTCAGTATCTTCTACCACCTTCACATTTCCCAGAGTCCTGTCAGAGGAGCAGCTCCGGTTCATCCAGAATTGTGTGTCCAGGATACATGGAGTCCTTTCTACCTCCTCCTCCATCTCCTCGTCTGTGCTGTCCTCCTGTTCGATCACCGTGCACTACGATTCAAATGTCGTGAGTCCAAAGGGGATCGGTTTGCACTTGCACAACATGGGCCACAGTGCGGAGTCGGCCGTGCGCATCGGAGTGGAGGGCATGCACTGCCAGTCCTGCGTGCAGACCATAGAGGCTAACATCTCCGAGCTAAAGGTAAGGGTAAGGTACATATGTAAGGAGCATTCAAAAGGACTATATTGTAAAAGTGAAGTGAAGGGGAGCTGAGGTTTGAATTTGCTGTGATGTGAGATAGTTGATATCTTTGAAAAAAGAAGGACAAAAAGTTGAAGACAAACATTTCTTTTAGATTTTTTACTTTTTCTATTGTTTCCTCATCAAAAACATACCTGGAGTTTTGTTTCATTCCCAGTAGGGTGGTCAAAAGTCTGGAAAATCAGACACTCATCGATACTAAAGCTAGTATCAATACTGGACACTCATTTGAGCAGGTATCCATACTAAAAAGTCACTTCCACAGGAAAGAAATGAAGCCTTCCTGAACAGCTTTTACAATTTAATATTGAAAGTGGCACTTGAAGTGTTGAAATAAAATAGAATGTTATACTGTTTCTTAGCATCAAAATCAAGTTTGAAATGTTTATATTACATTCATTCCCACAAACACTGACTCTTTTCTTATACATACTTTTTGTAGGGGAAGAGGTCAGACATTGTGATAAAATATAAGGTTAGGAGTTGAGGAGAATTGATTGTAAAATAAAACCACAGAAATATCCCTGTTCTTCCTTGCAGCCTGGTTTCTAAAATTAGTCTCAGTGTTAAAGGGACAGGGACAAAATTACCATGATAACTAACACAAATCTACACAAAAAGAAACAATAATCCTACAGTTAAGAGCATATTGTATACAGTTTTATTTTCCCTAAGGTAAATTGATATGCAGTAGTGTCAGACACAAAAAATATGAAAAAAAAAGAACAGGAGATGTAACAGCATTTCACCACGACTGATCCAAGCTATAAGAGCATTCATCCTGGTTATGGCTTCAGAAATAAAAGAAGTCCGACCTCTCTGAGTTCTGATCCGGGCCATTCTCAGACACCGCCCAGAAGGACGAAGGTTAAACTCCTCACAGAGCGAGTGCTCAGGGCTCTCCAGTATTTGTTGGACCTTTCATTTAATCACTATTTTAATTTAGTGCTCATTTAAGTATTGATTTTAAACAATTCATCTTACATAAAAGTTGTTTAAATAAATAAATATATTTTTACCTGAATTAGGACAATGGAAGAAAGGTCATTTCAAATTCTAGTATGCACACTTCTCATTTTTGCATATCTTCAAAATAAAGATGCAGATAATCTCTGTACATCTCTGTCTCTGTGTCCAGGGCGTCATCTTAATCCATGTGTCTCTCCAGAATTCATCAGCGTTCATCACATTCCAGTCTCACGTAACCACAGCGGAGGCGCTGGTGGACCGGATACAGGACATGGGCTTTGAGACCTCACTGCTGCAGGGACAGGATGGACAGGGTGGACAGGGTGGACAGGGTGGACAGGGTGGACAGGGTGGACAGGGGGGACAGGGGGGACAGGGGGGGCAGGAAGACTCGGAGCAGTTGATGGTGGAGGTGTGGATCACAGGAATGACGTGCCGCTCCTGTGTGGACTCCATCACGGGCCGTCTGAGCCAGGAGCCCGGGGTGAGCCGAGTGTCCGTGTCCCTGGAGGAGCAGAAGGGGAGGGTGACCTTTGACCCCAGCCTCACGTCACAAGAGAGGGTCAGGGGGGTCATAGAGGACATGGGATATGAGGCGTCGCTCACAGGTACACAAATGAAAACTCTACACAATATTTATGGCAAAGAAACACTGCGAAAAAATATTCATCTAAAAGTGAATTATGTAACTTTTCAAGTGGAGGGTCTGCCAACTTATCTCCAAATAACCAAACAAAAGTGACTTAGTTCAACTTTAGGTTTTGGTATGATTATAACTAAACCTAATTTCAATATGGCAAAGAGAGAGTCATCACATTGCATTTGTGAGAGACTGTGAAACACTGTACCCACGTCAATGACATTCTCAGGGCTCAGGCTTTGTCAGTCACAGACCCTGTACCACTTCATTGCCATGGAAACCAAACCAGAATGCTCTTAAGAGTTTGATGAAGAGTTCTTGTTGGACTGAATGTGAAAACCTCTCTCTAAGGGTTCACTTGGCACTCGTTTGCAAATTGCTTGTTTATGTAAAGTTTTGGCGTAGATGTTGTAGTAGTGTAGTAGAATGTTACGTAATAGGCTGTGTGCTGTTTTTAGAGCCTGCTCTTGAGAGGCCTAGAGCAGCTCCATCTGAGGGTCCCCCCACATGGTCCCGGCCCCCGCAGATGACTCAAGTCCTAAACGGGGAGTGTGAGCAGAAGGTCGAGAGGTGCTTCATCAGTGTGACGGGGATGACCTGTGCCTCATGTGTGGCCAACATTGAGAGGAACCTGCTCAAACACAGAGGTCCCAACACACACATTTACTACCCAGTCAAATCTAACACTCTATATCCATCTCTATATCCTCCCTCTGTTCATTCAGTCTCTATATCCTCCCTCTGTTCATCAGTCTGTGCTCGATTACACCTGTTCTCCTGTTTTGTTTCTTCAGTATTTTTTGTTTCCTAAGCTCGGGGGTCTTGGTTGATTTAACATGGACTGACTGAGTTTTATTATTTTATTGTTACACATGTTAGGATGTGTTTGAACTTAAGCTGAACAAAAGCTACAAATAAATATTGAAATCCTTGTACCTGATGATGTAAATTACATTATTGTAGAATAGAACCTGTTTTTACATTTACTTGCTCAGTTCAAGGCAATGGGTTTCCATGGTTTTACCAAGTAAGATGAACCTACTCTTAAAGTAAAGGTTGCTACATATTTCAGATTTGAGGAACTGACTGATTCGTTGGCACAGCTTCACAACATGAGTCTATGAATGAAAACTAAAGTTCACTTCACTCACTGCGCCTGGTTAGATGAAAGAGAAATTTACTGAACACTACACTGAGGAATTACTTGCAGGCTCAGCTTTAGATTCACAGTTCACTTTAGTCAGATTTTTCAAGGCCGTCGGCTTCCTAGATTTTTTTCAAGCTCTACATATTAGAGTTTATAGTGTATACTATTAAATACATGTACCATTAAGTACAACACCTAATATTTTAAAGTGTAAACTCTCTCTCACCTTTCATAGTGCCCAGTGTTTCAATTCATGATCTGCTGATTAAGTTACTAGGTTAATGTAAAAAGCAATGATCTCCAACCAATACAAAATATAATAAATAAAATATATTCTTAATAGATAGGAGGCATTGAATAGTTAAGCCTCCAACAGGAAACTTAACCATATCTAGTTTTGAAACATGAGTGAAGAACAGGCTTCTGAATGAACTGTTAACCCCGCACACAAGGCCCTTGACAGAGAAGTTGTAGTAAAAAAAATAATGTTATTTACAATATTCTAGAATATACTAAAAATAAAAGGTGTTAAATGTCAGGCCCTTTAAGGACTCTTTAAGGGCCCTTTTTATTTTTCAAATAAGTATTTCGATGAAGTTAGGGTTATAAAAAGTTCATTGAGATCTTCATTTTCCTTATCACTGATGTTTGTTAGTTTGAGAAGTTTTTGTAAAAGTAACACCAATGCACTTTCTCTGCAGGGATCCTTTTAGTTTTAGTTTCTCTTATGGCGGGTAAAGCAGAAGTGAAGTATTGCTCAGATCTTATCAGCCCGATTGGTATAGAGCGCCTGATCCAGGACCTGGGCTTTGGAGCCACACTTATAGAGGACAGCGCCGCCACAGATGGGAAGCTGAACCTTACAGTGGGTACATTTACATTTTACATTTACATGGCCAGTAAAATCAGATAACTCCAACAGTCAGATAACACAATAATAAGATCTAAATTTACACTCACAAATCATCAAAAACACCTGGCATGACATGTTTGTTTGTTTTTTTGTTTTTTTTTGCATTTTCTTGAATGTGAAAGAGCACCCATTTACATGAGGTTTCAATAATCTGATAACTCCAGAAATCAGATAATGATCAGATTTTTGAAGTGAATGTAAACACAGCTACTGAGTATTATGCAGTGTTTTGGGTCTGTTTATTTGCATGTACACAATATGCAGTGAGAGTAATAGTTTAGTTTTTTTCTGCAGGTGACAGGCATGACGTGTGCATCCTGCGTCCACACCATTGAGTCCAGGCTTACGTCCACTAAAGGGATCCTCAGAGCCTCTGTTGTCCTGGCAACAAACAGAGCTCAGATCCACTTCAACCCTGACGTCATCGGGGCACGAGATATAGTCAGAATCATACAGGTAATTATCCATATTGTTAATGTCAAGTCATGTTTTTCCCAGTTTATATACTTTATATTTATAAGTCATATCATGTGTCCAGGACCTTGGATTTGAAGCGTCTCTGGTGAAAGAAGGCATCCGGAACAATCTGGACCACTCAGAACAAATCAAACAGCAAGTATCTAAAACTTTTGCGTTTTCTTAGAATATCATCCGGCAAACTGAAGCTACTGTTTACATATAGTATCTTGGACATTAGATATTACTTAATATTACCAATTCTTAGAAACCTGTGACATATTGTTCATAAACTTTTGTTCCTGCCTTGTTCTGGATAGAGGTAGAATTAAATATTAGAAAATTATGCTATTTTATATTTATTTAATATTATTTAATATTATAGGCTAATTAATATTAGTCTATAGTTTGTTTGTTTTTTCACCACAACAAACCTCCAACATTATTTCTACTTCTTCTTTATCCAGATTTGTGATCTTGCATAATTGTCTGATAGTATTCATATTATATATGGCAAAGTAAAAATTCAATTTGTCAATTGGACAAATGTTTATTTAGGTTGAAAATGTTTTCTGAAGAACTGAAGAAGCAGCTTGGATGAGCAACATTTTTGACCTAAATAAATAGTTGACAAATGAAATTTCTCCTTTGACACTGAGGGATTCTGCACATATTTACATGTCTAAGCGTAATGTCTAACTGTAATGTTGGCCTTTTGCAGGTGGAGGAACTCCTTTTTGACCAGCCTGATTTTTGGTGTTCCAGTTATGGTCTTGATGATCTACATGATGGTGATGGAATACAGAGGCTCAATGCACGAAGACCACAACCTCCTCCCAGGGCTGTCGCTGTTTAACCTGTTCTTCTTCTTACTCTGTACCCCCGTGCAGGTAGCAAAACAACACTTATAACTTCCAATTTCTCAATGTATATTTCTCAAGCTCTTGATTTCTTGTAGGTAATTGGAGGGAGGTACTTTTACATCCAGGCTTACCGCTCCATAAAGCACCGTACGGCTAACATGGACGTGCTGATCGTGCTGGCCACTTCCATAGCTTACATCTACTCGTGTGTGGTGCTCATCGTGGCCATGGTCGAGAGGGCAGCTCAGAGTCCCCTCACTTTCTTCGATACCCCGCCAATGTTGTTCGTGTTCATTGCACTGGGAAGATGGTTGGAGCACCTGGCAAAGGCATGTTCATTCTTTTTCTATTTGTGTATAAGCAAGTATAAAAGAAATAACTATATGTAATAGACAGAATATTTTAAGGAAGGAGTTTACTAGAAATACAGAAATAATTATTAATGTAGAAGTAAATCATAACATCTTAACCAGACAATAAACTGTAACTTTGCAGCATCTGAAAACCTGTAATTCCCTGTAATTTCATCTGAGGTGTATTTTTTATTTTATTTTAAACTGAATAGGCCAATATTTGCAAATGTGTTTTGAATGTTATTTTAATTTGTAAATAATAATAATAATAATAATAATAATAATAATAATAATAATGTATTCTCTTTTTTCAGAGTAAAACCTCTGCTGCTTTGGCTAAACTCATGTCACTTCAGGCCACTGACGCCACAGTGGTGACTCTGGGATCAGACCTGTCCATCCTCAGGTAACACAGAATGTATGTCCAGTGCAAAAGCTGATGTGTCAGTCTTATAACCCCTCTGTATATGTCTGTGTCAGTGAGGAGCAGGTGGAGGTGGAGCTGGTGCAGAGAGGGGACATCGTCAAAGTGGTGCCTGGAGGAAAGTTCCCTGTGGATGGGAAGGTCATCGAGGGAAGCTCCATGGCAGATGAGTCTCTCATAACAGGTGATGCACAAACTGACACGGAGAACTAAAAATGTATACAACAAAATAAAAATAGATGAAGACTTTTCTGTCTTTCTTTGTGAAGGTGAGCCGATGCCTGTGACTAAAAAGGTGGGCAGTATAGTGATCGCTGGATCCATCAATGCTCATGGGGCTCTGCTGGTGGAGGCCACTCATGTGGGGGCAGATACCACTCTGTCTCAGATCGTGCGCCTGGTGGAGGAGGCCCAGACCTCTAAGGTAAACTTTACAAAGTGTAGCTTAGTCACTATCATGTGCAATGCATAGTGTTGCGTTTGGTGAGTTGTGACCTAATATAAATTCTTTCACAAATTTCTATAATGTTGCAAGGTTATAAATGTGTGTTGAATTGTGTCTGCTCAGGCTCCCATCCAGCAGTTTGCAGATAAGCTGAGTGGATACTTTGTTCCTTTCATAGTTATCATTTCTCTGTTAACTCTGGGAGCCTGGGTGGCCGTGGGGTTTGTGGACTTTGAAGTTGTCAAGGAGAATTTTCCGGTAACGCCCCCCTCTGGTGTATTCACATGTTAACCCAGGTGACACTTTGACAAACTGTCTCTCCTCCACAGGGCTATAACCCCAACATCTCCAAGGTGGAGGTGATCGTGCGCTTTGCCTTCCAAGCCTCCATCACAGTGCTGTCCATCGCCTGCCCGTGCTCTCTGGGGCTGGCCACACCGACAGCTGTCATGGTGGGCACAGGCGTGGGCGCTCAGAACGGGATTCTTATTAAAGGAGGAGAGCCCCTAGAGATGGCACATAAGGCACGAAGTTCAGTCTGTTATTATTCCATTTATCACTTACTGAGTATCTACACAGTACACTTTTGTCTTCTGTAGATTAAAGTGGTGATGTTCGATAAGACGGGCACCATCACAAATGGGGTGCCCCTGGTGACCCGGGTGCTGGTGCTGTGGGAGGTGGCCCGGATGCCCCTCAGGAAGGTCCTGGCCATCGTGGGCACCGCAGAGGCCAACAGTGAACACCCGCTGGGACTGGCTGTGGCCAAGCACTGCAAAGAGGTCAGCTCTGCTACCGAGGCTAACCTAGTGCAGGGATCTCAAGACTGGTGTGTTTGTCTTCTAGACCTATGCCTCACAGGGATACATTGAGTTTTCATATTCATTGATTTGTGCTGGCAGATATTCACCATTATGGTTTTTAGTCTGACAAGCCCTTAGATCAGGGGTCTCAGACTCGCGGCCCGGGGGCCAACTGCGGCCCTCAGAAGGATTTTTTGCGGCCCTCCACTTAATTCCAAAGAATAATGTCAGTGCGGCCCGCGGTAGATGTACGCACAATCCCACCCCTCTACCGCAGGCTGCACTGACAGATGAAGCTGCAATCGGTGCCCATGCAGATTCACAACAACAGATTATTAACGCAGTTTACATCCCAAAACTCAATTTACAGCAGTTGTGAAGCAACGAGCGAGTCTAAGTGGATCTGTTAATACAAGTACACGTGCACATACGGCGTCACCGAAGAACCACAACAAACCACACATGGTGGTACACGTGTGCGCGCTTCACTTTACGCTCCCACAACCACAGTATCAGAGCGCAGAGGAGGCGCTGACACAATTCCCCTGTTCATAAGTATGGGACCTTTGTTGGAGGGGGTAATAAGAAATAAAAAGACATTGACAGTCTGTTTACCTGCTCAACACTCGGTGCGTAACTTGCTGGCAACTCGATAACCAAGCTCCACCTGTGCATCACCGAAATCCAAGCGTACTCAGCGGTAAACACAGCTGTCCCATCAATATGCAAGCACCACAAAACTGCAGTGATCTATTCCAGAGGCTTGGCGACATGTTAGCAAAAAGTACGAGGCAAAAACAAGCGTCTTCCATCCATGTTTGACATATGAGAAGCAGATACACTCCAGTGTGGTCCACTTTCACACCGGCAAACGAACCAAAACTGATTAACGAACCTCTGTATTCCGGTAGAACAGCGATATCTCCAGTAACCAGTACTGATGTTCAGTGTTAATACCGTGGGCTGTCCTCATCTTATTACCATGAACTCATAAAACAGCAACATGTAGAACTTCGTACAAACTCACCGCATCATCCCAGAGTTCGGGTAACAGCAGAAGCCAACAGCGCTCACCATAGCGCGCAGCTCCTCAGGACGGGGCTGGGGTCTGGTCCTTGGTCTTCTGTCGTCCTACAAGCGCGTTGGTCAGATGGTCCGGAGGCTCTGTCCTCCATGTGCTGGTTCCAGTGCGCAATGACTGGGTCTGAGCGGGTACGTTCCGCCGTCTGCGCGCTTGTTCCGTGCGGGAAAAGCGAGAATGCGCTGTGGACTACCTACAGGTCTGTGCGGGCTGCTCCTGTCCTCCGCGCTCAAGAACCGCGGCTGGTTCCGAGGTGGTGCAAAGCATCTGGACAGAAGCGTGAGTCCAGTTTAGTTAGTTGGCATCCGTCCTCCGCACATTTGGTTCTACCCGGGGAAAGCGCTTTTCACTCCCCGCTCCACGTCATCTGAGCCCGGACAGAACCAGAGCTGCTCCTGCTGGTTCGGGACTCTGGTTTGGATCTAGTCCGACTGTATTTCTCACACTAGGCTAAAAGCAGGACATTTTTTCAAGGTGAATCAATTGAATGGGCGATTGCCTATTGCCATAAAATTATTTGGTTAATTAAAGCCTAAAATAACAAATGCTGGTTCCTACATGATCACGGGGAACACCGGGACCTCTGTGCAGGTCCCGAACAGACGTACACATCCCCAATTTTGACTCACTCTGGAGCCACATGTTCGCACGTACTTGCTCTGGTGTTCGTGTGTTACATTCTCTGTATTGGCCATTGTTGGTAAAATAATTTGAAAATGAATCGCGGCTGCGTCTGAAGAACAATCTGTCACTGCGTTGGAGTCGTACAGCGTGTCATTACAGGCAGAGGAGACGCGATGCATCTAGAATAGTTCGTTTGGACCTGCTGTCTGTGGTTTGGACCCGGGTTCGCGTTCACACCAGAAGAACTGCACCAAAGTTGGTCATTTGGTGCGGATTCAAGCGAACCGAGACCACCTCTTTTTTGAGGTCTTGGTCCGCTTGAGTTGGTCCGGGTCAGAGTCCGATTGACGCTTTCACACCAACGCAAACAAACCGAACTAACCACTTTTGGTTCGAATGGACCGTTTGGTGCGCACCAAATACTGTCTGTGTGAAAGCACCTAATACAGGTCAAGGCTCACTGACGAGCATCTTCAATCTATCCTGAGGATCTGCTTCCTCCTGCAAGCCAAATATCTCCCAGCTGTGCAAGATGAAATGTAGCCAGGTTTCAACCAGCAAGGAGTAGGCAAAAGAAGAGTAGACGTATTAGTTTAAACTTACGTTCTGAATACATTTTCATGTTCTGAACTGTTATTAAAGATTAAGAAAGTGTGTTGCGTGTTGTTCTTTCTCTCTTTTTTTTTCCCGTGCAACCGCTATTTATTGAATACTCAATGCGGCCCAGCCTCACTCAGACTTTATCTAATGTGGCCCCCAGGGTTGAGTTTGAGACCCCTGCCTTAGATGTTAGATGTTTTAATAATTGCTTTTATAAAGCTAACACATTTGACCTTCATATGTTCATTTGTGTGTCTCAGGAGTTGGGCTCTGCAGTGCTGGGCTTTTGTCAGGACTTCCAGGCAGTCCCGGGCTGTGGGATCAGCTGTAAGGTCTCCAGTGTGGAGCACCTCCTCGAGCAACACGACCAGCAGCACTTCATCCTCCCCGGAGCCACTACTGATGAGAGCAGCCTCCTGCCCACTGGAGAGGACACTTCCAGAGGTCACTCCTCTTTGTCTAACAATTCATGATATTAAAAAGCTCATATTGTAAAATGTAAAAATAATAAAGGTGACAATTGTGTGTTAATATTTCTTTCTCTTTTGTTTTGCTCTCATGTTTAGGTGAAAACGTTGCGTATTCAGTCGTCATTGGAAACCGTGAGTGGATGAGAAGGAACGGCCATTCCATTGGAGCAGACATTGATTCGGCCATGTCCAGTCATGAAACTAAAGGACAAACCGCCATCCTAGTCGCTATTGATGGTAAAGTCACATTGCTATGCTAAACACATAAAGGCTGTATAGAATGTTAAATACAGTGGTCTTTCTCTGTGTCTCCAGGCGTGTTGTGTGCTATGATCGCCATCGCAGACACGGTGAAGGCGGAGGCGGCCCTGGCAGTGCACACACTCAACAGCATGGGCATAGAGGTGGTGATGATCACAGGAGACAACAAGCGAACTGCCAAAGCTATCGCTGCTCAGGTAACACTCAGATTGGACCAGAAAGTAAAAAGTTAGCCTGTTTAAAATTCTGTGGCCTTTTCGTCTCTGTCTTCTTTAGGTGGGGATAAAGAAAGTGTTTGCGGAGGTGCTGCCCTCACACAAAGTGGCCAAAGTTCAGGAGCTCCAGGAGAAGGGACTGCGGGTGGCGATGGTGGGGGACGGGGTGAATGACTCTCCAGCGCTGGCCCGAGCAGATGTGGGCGTTGCCATAGGAACGGGGACAGACGTGGCCATTGAGGCAGCTGACATTGTCCTGATTAGAGTGGGTACAGCACGGTCAGTATTTGTCTGTAAGCTATTACCAAAGATTGAATTTATTGAATTTTATTTTCAGAATGACTTGATGGATGTGGTGGCCAGTATTGAACTTTCTAAGAAGACTGTGCGGAGGATCAGAATCAACTTTGTTTTCGCTCTCATATACAACCTTGTGGGAGTTCCGATCGCAGCAGGTGAACATAGCCCTCCTTATTGTTCCTATATTAAAGGTGTACAGTGTAACTTTCCAGTGGGGAGTTTGTCACCTGCTTCTTCCCATGTAGATATTATTGATTTGCCTGGAATGTTCCACAGTAAAGCTTACAAAAGTCATACATTTATTTCATTTTTACACACATCCTTATTGTGAGCGGGCTCATAACTTAGCCTGGTAGTGTAACCTGCTTGTCTCCATGGAGATAATTTAATGCCATACTGTGGAATATTCTTGGCAAAGCAATAACATCTCAAATGAGACAAGCAGGCGGCAGACCCTCCACTATAAAACTGATATAATGCACCATTAATACTGTCCCTAACCAAAAATCATGATTGAGAGTCTAAAAGAATACAACTAAGTACTAAGGAATGTATAAATACACATTGTATATACTGCATAAGTATGTGTAAATTGTACACTTGGTGCACAGGAGTGTTCATGCCGGTGGGCCTGGTGCTGCAGCCATGGATGGGCTCTGCTGCCATGGCGCTGTCATCTGTGTCTGTCGTGGGCTCCTCTCTCCTGCTCCGACTGTGAGTGTGCACCACAATAACTGATCTGGAATGAAGCAAAAAATATATAACTTGCTATTATTCTCAAGTTTGACAGAAAAAATCAAGCTCCAAGTAATTTATTTTAAACCAAGACAAAAGACCAGTGTAAAACTGAACAAACAAACTCAAAACCAGGACTAATAACAGTAATTAAACAATTCTTCGTTGTCTATACAGCAAGTCAGATTCTGATGTTTCAAATTGAAGCTTCAAATGGATTTACTGATTGCTAAAGATGTTAATAGTAGTAATAGTAATAAATAGTTCTATATGAATTACTCTACAGTTATGTTAGACCTTTAGAGAAGCAATAATGGCCAAATAAATATTGGACATGCACTATATAACTTTTCTGGTTTCATCTCCATTACGGATGTTTTTATTTATTTATTTTTTATTGCTTTCATTGCTTACCTGCATCTTGGCCTGGTCACATGACTTAGAGATAGATAGTTGAATGCCATTTTGTGGAACATTCAAAGAAAAGTAGTAAGTACTAACCTCCCCGTGGAGACAAGAGAGTAGAGAATCCTCCATCAGAAAACTTACATTGTGCATCTTTAAATCTAAGCTGATAAAAAGTGAGAGTGAATAGTAAATATCTTAATATAGTTTGACCTCACTTGTTCCTTGTGTGCCAGGTATAAGAAGACATCAGTGGAGGTGTACGAGGCGCGAGCGGAGGGCCACATGAGGAGCCTGCGCTCGTCTCAGATCAGTGCTCATGTGGGGCTGGAGGGACACCGGCCCCCCGCAACCCGGGACCAGCCCAGCACCCAAGGGAGAGACATTGTATAGGAAAGGGATTCAAGTACACAGACTGATTTGATTTGAATACTGTAATTATGTGTCAGGGTCTTTCGAAATAGACGTTTTGCACTTCTGTAAATTATATTCTGGCCAGTAAAATTTTTTATACCTGTATTCTAGCTTTGATATGACCTCAACAAAATGCCTTAAGATGTAAATAAAACCAAAGACTTAATGCACTTTTCTTTTTTATTAACCACATTCTAAATACTTCTGTAGCCTGAAACGGAACAGAATGGAAGAAATTTGATAAACAATTGGCACTGACAGCAAGGTGGTGTAGTGCCTTTGCCCAAGGACAACAACAAAAAAATCTCCTTAGAGTGGGATCTAAACCATCAATTTGTCAATGTGTTATTCTGTAAAAAGATGATTAACAATGATTAAAGATGTAATGTTAGGTGTGCTTTTTATAGGACACCATTTCCTGAACATTTTCAATCAGCCGAGGTGCAGACAGACTCACTGAAATGTATTTTTAACTGTGCCCCAGATAGACAATATTAATTGCATGATCTCATTCATTAAGCACTTCCTCTGTCCACCTGTGAGTTACACCAAATTTTATGATAAATATTTAAGCTCCTCCATATTTTTAGAGTCCATAAACATTTACTGGACTGTTTTTTGTACTTCAGCGGCCCTCATTACAATGAATTTCCATTTAACGTATTGACAATAACTACCTAATTTGTCATTTCAAAATGCTTGGCTCTACATTTTTGCTGGCACATAATGAAAGCATTTCATCACCTGAGGCTGCACATGATCAAAAACACAATCATTTCTGGTTTTGGATTTTATATAAGCTGAACTTCTTTAAATTTGGATGGACAACAGCAGTGAGCAAAAACACAAGACTAAAGAGCAGCTAGTTCATGGTCGGTTTATTGAAATAACTAAATAAATTACTAAAGATATTACATCAGTGTCTTAAGATGACTCAAAGTTGTACATTTTATACTGTTCAGAACCTTAACCTCATATCTGGGGACAGAGAACTTATAACATTTAAAATCTAAATCTTACATACGGTTCCTTTAAAAATGTAAGGTAAGTATAAAAGTGATGACATGTTAAAATGGCGACCTGGTATAACTCTATGCTATAAAAAGAGAGTGCAGACAACGTTTTACCTCACAGCTTTCTGCGGAAGGCTATTCTGCTTATCTCTGCATCTCTTGTATCTCAAGGAAAAGTCTAAAATATTTAATTTAAAGTGCACTCACAGACTGCTCTTCAACACTTTTCACATCTCAACATGTCTCATGTGCTTTGCACTTGTTTGGTCTTAGATATAACTGCATGGCTCAATGCAGGAAGAAATTCAGTGTCAAACTCAAATTTAAACCAACTGAACTGTTATATTTAAATTTCACAAACGATTCTTCATCTTGACTTTTACAGTATTTACTTTTGGACACCTTTTAATCGAATAAGATTAAATAGACTGTTCCAAACAACAGAGTAAAATAGTGTCTGCTCATTTGGTTTAACTGACTAAAGCAAAATGGTGAGGTAACACACAGATAACAATTTCAAGGTGGATAAGAAGGTTTCCCCCCTTAACAAATAGATCTGGATACAAATCAAATATTGACTCCGTTCAATCGATACACACCACTGTAACCCTCACATGTTGTAATGTGAGGTGTAGTTCAGCAGGGGGCGCTGTTACACCTCATCACCTTCGACATGACGCGGTCACACGCCCGAGGAAAATGAACAAAACGGGCCAGAAATATGAACATTTTCTACAAACCAAGATCCAAACTAATAGAAATAATTTACAATAATTTACAAACAGGTCAAAGACCCTGACAAAAGCACACAAGTGAGTTCGCATCAAACAGCCTTTAAAAAGGCTGTCTTCGCTACGCAACGCTAGCTCCATTTCTGCTCATGTAATGTAGTGTTACAGTTTACATCATTTTAAAACAGAGAACAATAAAAAACAGCTGGAGTCCTAATGCTAAGGTTCATTACCAGGATTAGCATAAGGAAATCATACTACATATATGCCTTTTAGAAAATGAACTGCCTTTACATGGTTTGAAACCTTATCTAAAGGCAAATGTTACAAATCGTTCCCATTTTCTAATGTTATAGTCATGTAGTGCTTGTTAATACTTTGTGTGTTTTAAGATGACCAGACATCCCTATTCACCCGGGACAGTCCCAGTTTTGAGCCTGTGTCCTCTGTACCAGCAGATTTATACAAAACCATTGATTTGTCCTAGTTTTATACAAGAAATGTCCCAGTTTTTCCTATTTTGGACCAATCTGATACCTGCCGACAGTAAAGAGAGGCATAAACTGACATTTGTTGAGGTAAAATAGAGAAAAGCTGCTTAAAAATGCCCAAAACACAAAGACAATTTGACTGCACTGACTCACATGTCAGTCATGAATGGGGCGAGTGCAGAAAAAATTCTCCTTAATTACGTATTCATTTCACAATTTTATTATTACCAACCACCACAAACCGAGAGTGTCCCAGGTTTTGATTTTGAAAATCTGGTCACCCTGGTGTTACTGCAATAAACGCTAATACAACTTTCCTTAACTCTTACAGGCTGGCTTTACTTGACTCTCAAATGTCCAGATGTGATGGTGACGTATGCCCGATGTGACTGCAAGAGGTGAGACATGAAGAGACATCACCTCAAGAAAGCCATTGTTATTTGAGAATATTTAGACACACATAGCAAGCACAACCACGTTCAGGTACAGACTGTAATGTAAAGATACTAGAACAATGACCCATAACCCAGAGTCAGACCCAAGCCTGAACCAAACTGGTGTCCAAACTGTGTTGTTGAGCTAGAGTTGGTCTGAGTATGGCTTGTGTCTGGCTCAAGTGTAAAAAAAAAAAAAAAAAAAAACATGTTAGGTATGACACTAACAAATATTAACATAAAAAAATTAAATATGCAGGCTTGGTTTGAGCCTACAGCTACAACAGTTCTCTTCGAGGAGTAATAACACTTCCAGTTGTTCATAGTTTACTAAATTTGGCTAGACATTCCTACCCAGTATGTTCTTTGATAACCCCAAACCTAAGTGCCTATCTCACGTCGGTAGTGTTTTCTTTTAGGCAGTTTGTGTTTTATGGAAAGAACTAGAAAATGATGTCATAATCCCACTGTTCAAAGGCATATATTCAAAAGACACTGCTGGCAGAGTCGTAGTCCTTGCTGGAGTGTGCAGTGCTGGGCAGGGACTTGAGGTACTCCATGTGCCTGCGTGCGTCCTCCTGGTTGTGCCGGATATAATAGACGATGTAGGCTGTCACCATGCTGAACCAGCAGAACATGGCTACAAACATGGCTACGTCTGTAGTCTTCTGGTGGAAGGTGCAAAAGTTCACCCCAGAGTCCAGGACATGAATAACTGGCTGCCCCACGTATTTGTCCTGTATGGAGGTGTGGCAGCTCACCTGGGTGACTGTCTCTGGGTCCAGCCTCAGCCCTCTCAGCACCTCCTGCAGGGAAGGATGGGTATCATTAAATATTCTAGAAATAATGAAGAATTAAGTACAATTTACTACAAAGAAGGATTCACAAATCTGTGTTTTCTCAACATGGTTCTTAAGCATAAACACAAATTACAGTTTTATTAAATAAATATGTAAATATGTTTTACCAGATTATAATGTTAGGTGATCACCCAAGTCCTCCCACTTCTTTATGTGGCACCTATCCCTACCTGTAGAGCACATCCACAGTGCCAGGGGTTGTGGGACAGGCGTACCCGGGCATGGAGATGGGTGAAGGTATCTCGGGGCAGGCTGCTTAGGAGGTTGTTGGAAAGGTCCAGCATTCTCAGCCCCTCGGAGACCCCATTAAAGGCCCCCACCTCCACACTCTCGATGGTGTTGTGGGACAGGTCAAGTTCTCTGAGGCGTGGCAGCTCTCCAAAAGCCTCTTGTGGGATTTGTTTGATTCTGTTGGAGGAGAGCAGGAGGACTACTGTGTCTCTCGGCAGCTCAGAGGGAATGGCGTCCAGGCTTCGGGACATGCACTGGACTACCATCCCACCGCGGTCAGAGCAGTGGCAGCTTCGGGGACAGTTGCCTGCACTTTCAGTCATCATGAGAAGCCAGAGAATAGCGGTGAGAGGGACATGACCAAAGAGTTCCGCAACACTCCATACTTCACACATATTGGAGAGACATCAGGATGCAGACTGACAGTGCAGTTCAGACCAGAGGATGTCGTCAATTCTGACCTCCACATACGAGCAAACCTGTAAAAAAAAACACAAGCAAATTCATCTTAACAAATTGGATCATGATTTGGAAGGCAAGTACTGATGACCAACCATGCTCCTATAATTCTTTGGCTCATTATGCACTGCAGTGTCTTTTTAAAGCAGCACTTGACACTTGTTGCATTTAATCAAATTTGTGACGTAAATGGAAGTGCCTCTCAACTAAATCAATACCCAAACTTATGGGACTGTCAAAGAAGAACTAGACAAGAAATAGCACAGCTGGAACATCTTATATTCACAAAAGTTTTTATCTCTAATGTATGGGCAGGTCTGTGCATGTTCTCTTATGCTGATTGCTGATTGAAGGGATTCACATTTATATATTCAGAAATAAGTGGCTTTATTTAGTGCAATCAAGTCATGACTGCAGCTGTAGAAGTGGAGACAGTGTATTGATTTATAGCTTCACATATGTTGAAATGGTATACCCCTATTATTCAAAAGGGAACAATGTGAACCTACAGGCTCACTTAATCAGAACACCTTTTGGTGGAGCAGGATTACTCAAACATATGTCAGCGAGGGGCATTTTAAATTGACAGTTGTACCATCATTTCCTGTGGCAATAAACGTGTGTGTTTTGCAGCAGAGTTCAGACTTTCGATACATACAGTTCAATTGTGTGTGAAATGACACTTTCCCTTTAAATGGCATCAGTGTTTTGCATATCCACAAAGGATCAGAAATCGGTCTTGATTGTGTCCATGATGAAAATGAGTTGTCACTGATGCTCCTATCACATGTTGTGAAAAGGCTGTTCCTCCCGCTTTAAAGTTCACCATTATCATCACAATGGCCTTACATGGTCTGCTGCTGCTGCTCGTGCTGGGGGAGTGACAGCCAGTGAACAGGTGAGCTCAACCGAGCAGACAGTGAACTTTTAGTGAACAGTGAATGAACAGTT